CAGTGTTACAATTTTTTAATCTACATATATAAAGTGAAACGGGTTTTTCTTTCCTGTAATATCCCTATCCTTCAATTATCACCCTTCTTTTGTTCGCCGTTAAGCAACCTCATCTAGGATTTCTAATAATTAAACAATAAACTTCAATAAAGCCTTCCAAATCTTACACGACAACAACTCCTAACATAAGTTAAGCTAGAAAAACATATTACTGAGTATTGGAAAATACAAAAAGTCGGAAAAATCGTTTGGCCTTAAATGACGCAAAAGACAGTACATTATTTTCTGATATATGGTCCTAAAAGCATGATCGAGAGGCTTTAAATGAAAAAAAAAAATTATATTTACAGAACAAACGAATTAATAAAATTATTTTGTAGCAATTGCATATTAATAACAAAACCTCAAAGAACACAGTTTCTAAAGTGCGGTATGCAAATAAATAGGAAACTAGAGAGAAAAATTATAACAGTAATTTCCAAAACCTGACTTCAATTATTATTAGATATTAATAATCCAACAATAAAATTAATTCAACTCAATCTTTTGTATAATAGCACAGATAAAAGCGTTAATATCCTTTTAAAAGAACGAGTTTCAACTGAAAGTTAAATAATGTCATAATAAAAAGTTGAAAACTGCCTACCCCTATTATGCATTGATTTATACAAGAATGATAAAGTCATCTAAATTTTTGGACAAGATCATTCCTCGTTCATCCCGCGTTTGTAATAATTCCAAATCCTACAACTATCCCCTTTTAATAACAGTGACTGTTCAAATAAATGTGAAAAGACAAAATAAAATAATAATAATTTAAACTTACCTTTTCATTGCACAGTTGCAACAATACCAAAAAAACATCAGTTACAGCAAAATTAGTTGACTTCCTGGTATCTCCAAAGCAAACTTGAACAAGTAAGTAAGAGAGGCTCAGTTTTTTTCGCAGCCTGGCTCGTTTTGGTACTATAGAAGTCATACTGTTACTTCTAGGCAAATCATCAAGCCACTAAAAATATGAAGTAGAATGTTGCTCATGAAAACCAGTCGTTTCCCCAAAGAAACCGAAATACCTACTTGCAAATTTGTAAGAGCAGCCAATATAACACCTCTAATTAATGGCGTGTCAATATATCTGTTCTTCGCCAAGTGAGTGAGACCAAAAGCCTACAATTTTCTACTCATTATTACTATTAATTACAATAATATAAAGCACTTCAGTAGTTAATTACAGAGAAAGTTAGATGCAGCGTTAACTGCAGTAAACGAAAATGGCTGACAAGGCCATATTTTAGAATGTAACGTACCTCTGCAAAAATGCCTTCAGGACCTGTAATAACTTCTTCTTCGTATTCAGCCGACAATACCTGCACAGCAAGACAACAAGTTATAAAGCTACACCCAAAAAGTAGTTCTTGCAAAAAAGGCAATTTGAAAAAGAAGTTCAAAAAAAGCATAAATCAGAGAAAAGAATTATTCAATTATTGTCTTAAAATGATTTGAAAACAGCTGCAACCTCTTCATTATTGTTTTCAAAGCGTTCAGTGCCAGAGTTCAGAATGTCATCGCTTTTATTATTGAAAGGTGCAACAGCACTAAAAAATCCTGCTAATAAGAGATTGAAGAGAAATAGCTAAAAGAACAATTAATCAATTTTTAGCAAATGCAATGATCAAAACAAGAGGAGTTTTTTTTTAACACAAAATTAACCCAGCTCCCGATTGAATTAATAATTAAATATTTATTCTTAAAAACTAAAAGTGAGCGACTACAATATGGTTTTTTTCGACGTGAAAGAGTTGACCAAAATAATGAGTGACAAAATATATAAGCGGTCTTTGAAGATAATTGTTTTAACTCTGCATTTGAAGCTTATTTAACACAAACTTTGAAGACTTCTCTATCTGAACTCTGATTTTTACTTCGGCGACATCAGATACCTACAATTTGTTAATTGAACCATGAAAAATCTAGGATTAAAAAAAAAGTAAAAAAGAGCAACTCAATCAGTGTTATTAATATGAACTACTCAGAAATTGCCGTCACGAAATTCAGTACAGCAAAAAAAAATAGCAGTAACTTTCAATACCTGTAAAAAATTGAAGTTTGCTGAAAGCCAGCAAGCAGAAAAATAAAAACAAGCCTTTTTTTGCAAATTCTTCGTTGTAAGAGGAACGTAGCTTGAAACTGTTATTTTTTGCTTAGACGTAGGTTCTTCGTGTTGAGGATGCTTCTTCATAGCTGACAGACATAAGTTACATCCCACTGCACTAACCATCTATCAGATAATCAATTCACCAAAGATAGAGAATTGAACATTTAAATTCAAAAATTGCAAAATAGATTACAGACTAATGATTATTGCAAGTTATTGAAAAATACTTACTAGTTTTTTCTGGCCTGTGTTTTTCAAATTAACAGCACCGCTTCCTGAAAGAATTAGATGAAGCAACCTTCTAAATCTTTTACTTCTTTATACAAGGTTTTCATTAGTACTTCCCACCTTTTGATAGCCTAAAATGCCAATGTGACTCGTCTGCAGTGTTTTTAAAGATCTCCTGCTTAGCTCCTGCATTAAAGAGTGGTTTTGAATAACACTAAATTAACGCACTTTCATTAATATTAATGTTACAGCACAGCAGAAAATGAGTAGAAGGCAAAAGCATTATTTGAAAACAACGCAATAAATATAAAGTGAGACGAGAGGGTTGAATTTAATTTACTATTGTTTTCTTCTATTTTAGATCTAGATCTTCAAAGCCAAAAAACCAATGTCTGCGATTTTGTCTTGTAAAACCTCAAAAAAATGAGTTTTCTCATTCTTTTTCCTTCTATCAAACCTACCAAAGGAAGGTTCCTAGTCTGCGGCATAACGCTTCTGAATAACACAGATGAAAACGAATATGACAATAACTAATTCAATTATAAGAGTAAACTGTGCTATGCCTGGATAAATATCAGTCTGAGATTTAAAATAAATTCCCTTTTGGAGACATTCTGTCAGGTTTGTATATAAAATTGGGTTTCTATAAGCCGCCTTGTACTTTATGACAAAATCAAATTCATACGAAACAAAATGCACAGTTGTTTAAGAGCAAAGTGTTCAAAAACTTCAGCATGAACTTATTCTAAAGATCAGTCTTACCCAAGCACACATATAGGCAATCAGAAATGCCGCAGCGATAGATTTAGCAACCAACAAAACGTGCCATAAACCAGTGAAATACTTACCCCTTCTTCGTCAACTTTTTCTGTGCTCACTCGACATTTTCCAGAAACAAATAATGAACTGTCTTGAACAAAGTCTTCTGCATCACTACAAATGATATTTGCAAGTAATCTTCAAAAACCGTGCCATTTTAAACATAGGTAATGAAAGCAACTGACATATCCTCTAGTTTCATATCATGCTCAACAGCCTCTCTTTTCCACTGGTCACATGCTGCTTTCAGGAGCCGCCGACTTTCATAGTTTGAAATTATACTCCAAAGAAGAGCCAAATCATTTTTGGTCACAACAAATCTTTTGATTGATCTTGCAAAAGATATGGAAGATGCATACGGTGGTAAGCCCTCAGTCTTACACTGAATACAGAAAGAATTGAGTCACAAAAGCCAGAAGCAAACGCAATGTCGATTCAAATCAAAATAATGATTAATCAAGAAGAGTTTGGCTGTGCAACGATCACAGTAAGCAGTAGAATAATAAATAGTGCTTATTTGAGAGCACTGAGTACGAAACAGCACCGTATTATCCGTATATAAAACAAACCTTTTCAGTATGACAGCTATCTTCAGCATAAAAAAAAGCGTATTTAGCAGCCCTAAAAAAACCTTTAATTTTGTTTTTCAAAACAAATAAACTTTTAGCCCATACACTTTAAATTTCTAAGGGGTTTGAATAAGAAGAAGGCAACTATAAAATTCCTTCGGTGTTTTACCAAATATTAAAAACTAAATTTGTGACGAATACAGAACAAGGCTAAAAGTATAGCAAATTACAATTTGCTTAAACAACACGTGCGGCTAAGCCATAGCACTGCTAATAATTCAGGAGCTGGAAAAGATTGTTCAACATGAATAATGTATCAAAAGCTCGAATTTAAAAAAATTTCACAAAAGTGAAACATGTTATATGGTATTTGTTAATAAACTGTTGGAAAATGGTAAGTGAACTAGAATTTGGATAATAACTTTTTTTTGTGAAGTGTCCAAGTAAAAGTTCTTTCAAAACTGTTCAACATAATTGGCACTTTTGCTCTGCAGAGTCCATTGTCACCGCTAATAAAAGAAGGTTTTAAAAACGGCAATGATGTATCTGCAACGACAAACAATCGCTCGCAAAACCATAATTTCGTGGGACCATCAACTCCACGCAATGCGATTTTCTGAACGCAAAGAATTTTTTCAAATATAAAAATAAAAAATTAAATGAATTGAAAAACTGAAGAAAAAGAAAGACAAGATAAAGAAAAACAATGTATCTTAACTGCAAGATTAACAAAATCACTCGTTGATATATTACAGGTCCTTTGAGTTTTTATCCTCCAAACCACCAAAGCTAAAGATTCTGACGTCATTGCAGAGAAGTTGGTTAAAAACCCGATATTCCTTTCTTTGTATCGAGATATTTGCTGTGTTGCTATACAGAACTCATGTTCCACTAAGCACAGATTTTCGTCCAACTTAAAAAACAATTTAGCTAACATTGCCACGTTTACGATATGTTATCGTGTATAAAGTGGCTTCAAGGAATCAATAACGTACCTCGTCTTGCTGCGGGACATCGTAATATTTCTCCATTTCCAACACACATTCTTAAAAATAAAATACCAAAGTAAATTATACCTCACAAATATAAAAAAACGAATAGTTGAACCAACTTACCATAGAGTATTAACATTTCCACTAAATCAACTTCCTTAACTACATCATTTACCACAACTTCTGCATAGTTGTGAATCACGACCAAAAGAATGCTATCATCAGTAATCGCATTCAGAAGAAGCATTCCACAACTAGAACCATCGCCGTAATTGCGGGCAGCTCTTTCATAAAGAGGAATAACTGAAGTGCTATCGCACTGGCCGTCAATGTTATCGGAACGATCGCTTATTGAGGAAAGCTAAAAATTTTAAAATTCTCCAATTTACAGTGTTACTTAAAAAAGGCTCAAAAGAAAGAAATCAAAAGCGAAAAGGCATAGATTATTAGCTGAAACACTTTTAATAGCGAAAAGATCTAAAATAATTTAACATTGTAATTTATAACCCAGTTATTACTTTTTCACGTCTCACAGTATTTCCTGTCAATGCCTCTTCTTTATTTTTCAAATAAACTTGCAAAAACAGCTCTTGTTTCACGCCATTTTCTTGGAATTTCCTAATAAGCTCAATAAATGAGAAGTGAAAGCCAAAATTAATGTTTGCCGCACTGTCAGGATCCTGGTTTTCATTAGGCTGATCTATTTCTTCGGATATATTCTAAATAAAATATTAAATGCAATAAATTAAAAAAGACAGAAATCTGGCGCTGTTGAAGTGAAATAAAAAAATCAAGGAAATACGACAGCGTAATTGAGGTAAAAATTTGAATTTTAAAGAGAATTTTATATATAACAAAAATAGCTATGTTGCAGAGAAAGAACCTAGCAGCAAAAATGCTGATTTCTCTGAAAGAGATTAGGATTGTTTTAGACTGACTGTATTATTTTGAACCGGTCGAACGCTTTTTGTTTTAACATCACTTGGTTTAGTAATAGACTCTAACGTCGACAGTTCACTTGAGTCATCATCAGGAATAGAACCGCTCTCTTAACAGTTAAGAAAAATTGAAAACGTAGAAGCGAAACGGTTTTTCAAAAATCGTAGCACACCGAAGTCTGCTTTTACAATGCGTATGCTACTGTCAGGTAATTTGAAGCCTAAAGCCATTATAGAAATAATAAAATATCACTAACTACGCATCAACCTTACTACTGGCTACTGCCTACCGTTTAAGGTATTGATAGAAGATTAACATTTAACATTTCACAAAATAATAAGGAGAATTAGCAAATTACAAAAATAACGACTCTTCAGCTGCTTTTAGTTATTCACAAAATACGCAATTAAAAATAAAATGATATAATGAAGAAATGACACAAAAGACCTAAAAATTGTGACTAAATAAGCATACAACCAACTTTTTATTATGCATACCTTCTTTTCCAAGACTCGCCTTTATCTCAAAAACTTGACTCAAAGTAAGGTCTACTCTAGAAGAATAGATTCGAACGCTAGCGTCTAACAGTGCAGCCGAATGCTGAAAAAACCAATGCTTTTTCTGAAAAACTTTGGTCAATACTAGGTGCAAATCTTACGACAAGAAGTAACAACATGCCACTAAAGTCTCCTTTTCAACGACACGAGGTAAACGGTCAATTAGATCTTCAAGAAAAGCTCTTGCAGTCAAATCTTTTGACCTCCGGTACGAAAATGCCAAACACCTTGCAGCATCAACTTCACTCTCAACTGTTTCTGCTAAAAATCAATTAAAAAAGGCAAATTTTCAAAACTCAAAACAAAAAATATCAATCTTCTTTGAAACTGCAGCTACCAATTGAAAAAGCAAAATTCTAACTTGAAAATAAAAACATTAAGGATATTAACATGTAAATCAATAAATACCGTCCCTAGCTCTTCTCTTCAAAACACCTTCTTTCCCCTCCTGCTCCTTCGACACGAATTGTGCGGTACGTTTCCGTTTTCTAACTCCACATAATCTCTCCTACAGTTTGATAAGCACTCTTAGCAATTTCGTGCGTTGAAGCACTTTCATTGTGAATAACACAACTGTCCAGCTCAGAAAAGAATGTAAGAAAACCTTGCAAACTTTGGAATCGTCAAAAGAAATTAATTTCCGCACAACAAAGTTAGGACGCTTGTTACTACAATCAAGCTGTTGATAACTTTCTAAAATCGCAACCGTGCGACTTTTCAAAGAATAACAATCCTCGATAAGGCAAAAAATTATAATACTTCTTTTACGATAACAAAGCATCTAAATGTTTCATCAGTTGAAAGATTATTCTAAAACAAACCTGAATATCAGCCGACGAAAAAACCATTGAGGTCACTAAGTAAAACTGGTCTTGTACAAATTACTCGGCTATCTGGAATGACGTATTAAAATTTATTTGGGGTACGACTGCATTTTTTACGTCACACGTCATGACATATATAATACATATAATATACACAATATGTATAATAAATATAGTATATAATGTGTGCAATGTATATTATATATACTATGCATATCATATATATTATATATATTACATGTATTATATATATTATGTATACTATACATATTATACATATTATGTATATTATGTATATTATACATTATATATATTATACACATTATACACACAACATATTACATATACTATATGTATTATACATATCATATATAATATACATAATACATACAATATATAAAACATATATAACACATATATTACGTATAATACATATAATATATGACATATACAATTTATATAAAATATGTAATATATATATATATATATAATACTATACATGTTATATATTTTATATACATTATACATATCATATACATTATATATTATATATATTATACACACTATAAATACTATATATATTATATATTATATTATGTACAATGTATACACTACATATAGTATATGTAATATATATGATATATAAAATAAATACAATATATATAGTTTGTATAATGTATATAATATATGTAATATATGGCATATACTGTACATAAAATACAAAAAATATATAATATATATAGCATATGTATCACATATTCTATATATATTATGCATTATAGATATTATATAAACTATATATGTTATATATATTATATATGCTATATATATTATATACATGGCATATATTATAAATATAGTATATATAATATATATAGTATATACAATATATATATATATATATATATATATA